ACAAAAAACGTATGATATGGGCACATGCTAAGAAAGTTCGCCTTTGAGAATTCCTTGAGGGAGATTTGGTGCTTAAAAGGATTTTTCCTATTCAGAAGGATTTCAGAGGAAAATGGATGCCTAATTGGGAATGACCTTATGTTGTTAATAAGGCCTTTTCTGGGGGAGCTCTAGTCCTAACTGAAATGGACGGATCAGAATTACCATATCCAATGAATTCCGACGCTATTAAGAGATATTTCGCTTGAAGAAGAAATAAAAGAGAAAAAGAAAAATGAAAAAAATGAAAATAATAATAATAATAAAAATGAGAAGAAGAAAAAGAAGAAAAGAAAAATGAGAAAAAAGAAAAATGATGGAAAAAACGAAAAGAAAAAAAAGAAAAAAAAGAAGAAAAATGGAAAATGGAAGAAAAAATGAAAGAGAAAAACAAAAAGAGAAAAATGAAAAAAAAAAGAGAAATAAAAGGAGGGTTCAAGATGAAAACCCAAAAAGGGCGTCTTGGAACCAAATGAGGTCTCAAGTTGAAAACCCGTAAAGGGCGACTTGAGTTGAGTTTGAAATTCAGAATTCGTGCATGGTGAAGGTTCTGAATTGATTTTGGATGTGGAAAGAGCTCCTGATATGGGTAGTAATAATGACAGTTGGCGATCAGGATTGAGACTAAAGATTAACGATCTCGATTGAAATAACCAGGAGAGAAATTGAATGCATATGAAATTCAATATTGGTTTAGGGCATCCAATGAAGGAGATTTGGGAGTTTAGAAGTAGCTTCACACTTTTAAGCATCATCACAATTTTGGAGATCCTTTCGATAGAAGCTATACTCGAGTCATTCTAACGGTGTGCCAGTTCAAAAGCATTTGCATTATTGATGTTTGAAGATGCCTACTCTTTTGTTCTTTTGTTTTTCCCAGTTAAAAGTTTGCCATTTAGTTGCCTAAAATTCTCTGTATTTATATAAATAAAGAGATGTCTTTTCTTGTTAATTTCTCTTTCGGCAAGCATCTTATTTTGAAAAGTTAAAACATATAGCTTAACTTGAAATATATGAGATCATTTTGTATTATTGTGCAAAAGGTTTTGGAAAATATAGGTATTCTGAAGCTAACAATGGTTTTAACATGTAAGCTTGTGTGGTTACGGGAAGCTAAAACCTTGGAATTCATAGAAAATCTCAGCCATGATAAGAAGGCCCAAAGAGATTGTCATTGACCAAGAAGTTGGTCATGGGAACTGGCGGGTTTCAAGAAAAGAAAGAGTCAAGGTTCTGTTAAGCCGCGAGATACGAAATTGAGATTGTTAACTGGGGTGAATTGGTCAAATGTTCTGTACCCAAGATGAAACCGAGTTCCATCGAGATCAAAAGGAGATAGAGTTCCTTCGAAGAAGAAAACGCATTGAATTGCATAATTGCATATATTTTAGGCATGAATAGGATCATGACATTCATAATTGCATGATGACTTAAGCAGTTACAGGTTTCCCAGGGATAATTGAAGATTGAAGATATTGAAGCATCGAGATGAACATAACTGGTTTGAAGATTTTGAAAAGAATGATGTTTATACGAAAACTGAGCCAAAGCAGATTCACGTATCCAATGGTTTCCAGACAAGTTTTCGCGATGGAGATCGATTTTCAGAAATTTTATCAAATTCTAAATTTTTTAATATAATATTTTCAAACATACATTAATGATTGGTAATGTTTGATTTTTAGGTTGGACCTTCGAAACAGGTTAATCTTAAGCCTTCACGGAAGAGTAGTGAAGCAAACCATCTGTAAGCATTCACAGAAGATTAGTGAAGCAAACTCATTTTATGAAGATCGAGTCCTATACTCTCTGAAGGAATAGGGAGCAGACATGTTTATTGAAGATTTTTCGAGTTCTATACTCTCTGAAGGAATATAGAGCGGACTTGTTTTATTGAAGATTGTTCAAGTCTTATACTCCCTAAACGAATAGGGAGCAGACACGTTTGCTGAAAATTGTTCGAGTCTTATACTCTCTGAATGAATAGAGAGCAGACACGTTTGTTGAAGATTGTTCGAGTCTTATACTCTCTGAATGAATAGAGAGCAGACACGTTTGTTGAAGATTGATCGAGTCTTATACTCCCTGAATGAATAGGGAGCAGACACATTTGTTAAAGATTGTTCGAGTCTTATGCTCCCTGAAAGAATAGGAAACAGACTCGTCATTAGAAGATTTTTCAAGTATCACTTATCCCAAAGTAACAGTGGAATAGTTTAATCTTTTGAAGTTTTCATGACCGGACAAACTCGATCATCTTTTGATCTTTGCTCTATTCTCGTTACACGACAATGAGTAAAGAGGGGCAGCTGTAGATGCTCGTTTTTGTCCGGAGGCTTCGTATCTAATACACGATACAAATTTGGACCAGGGAAAGCCCAAATCAGCCCAAACAACATGTTATCCTAGCCTCCAGTCCACGTGAGTTCCTGCAAAACACAAACAAATATCCAGCGGGAATGAGAGAAGCAGTTTTGATCGTGGGTGGGATACTAAACTGTAAGTCAGTTTTTTATTGGCAATTAACCTCCAGAAACGGGGACACGATGAACAGAGATGACAGAAAGAAGAAAAAAGAGAGAAGAATTAACGGAGAGAACAGGGAGGAAATGATGGTAATTTTCTTCGTAACTATTCGAGAGCAATAGAAAATACGGTATCCCAGTTTTATTTGATTCACCATTTCTGATGAACAACACATCATTACTGTAAAAAATAAAAATAAAACACCAACAAGAGCAATCAACAGAAAAAGAGACAACAACCAATCGAAAACAGTGAAATCAAAGGATCTTCTTCCCTTTCATTTTTTCACGCAGGGCTACAACAGATTTCTTTTTCGTTTTCCTTTAAGTAAGGTAAGTATTAAAACTCATTTTCGTATATGAGGTATTTCTTTATATTTAAAAAAATCAGTGGAAATTTCTTGAGATATTTGATTTATTTTAAGTTCTAGTGCGTGGTTATGTGAGTGTTTTGAAATAGAAGTAAAATAAGGGAGGAAGTAGGGTCGATTTAGTTTAGCTTTTACCTCTATAGTTATCGTGAGTGTTGGATTAGGAGGGCTCGGGCTTCATCGAGGGTTGTGAAAGCGTGGTGGCCTGCCGAGCATCGACGAGTTGTGGGATCTTGGTGTACAACCACCGTTCATGAAGGAAGATAATCATAGAAGAGAGCAAGATGGCCATAGCAGCCGTTCGGTCGAATGAAAGAGAAGTAGAGAGAAAAGAAAGAGGAAAAACGGCTGAGGGTTAGGTTTAACATGAGTTTAGGATTAGGTTTAGTTTAAAGTAGGTTTTATATTAGGTTATTAGGGCTAATTACTTTGAGGTCACTGTGTATGCCGTTGATTTCCATTTTGGTCCTGAAGTCGAGTCTTGTTTGCTTCGTAATTTGGTCTTTATCTTTTATACACATTTGATTTTAGTCCTAAATGCTAGGGTATTTATTTTCTCTCGTTTGCATATTCGGTCTTATAGTTTTTGCATGTTATATTTTAGTCCTCAAGTAAAATCTTTTCTATTTTTTTAATTTAGTTCTCAATTGTTGCGCGTATTTAATTTTAGTCATTAAATCGAAATTTCCAAGTTTTTAATTTGATCTTCACATTTGTAAATTTTTTTTAGGTCATCAGTTTATGTTATTTTTTGTTGTTGTTTGTTTTCGCATTTAGCATGTAATTTTGGTTAATTGGCTTTTTAGTCTTTAAATCAAATCTGTTGTGTGTTTTTTTTATCTTTGTTTTTCATGCTTATTTAATTTTAGTCATAAATGTTAGTTTTTTTTTGTCATTTAGACATTAAAGCTCCAAGTTTGTACATGTTACGTTTTGGTCCTGTAAATATTGGGTTTATTCTGGTTTTAACTCGTAATGATAATAGTAGTTTTAATCAATATGGCAATATTTGCATGTATAGTTTAGTTTTTATTTTATTAGTATTTAAAATAATAAAGTTTCATTTAATACGGTCTAGTCCTTAAATATAGTTATTTCTTGAAATTCATATTTCGAGTTAATATGTTTTATTTTTATTTTTATTCTAAGTGTCACTTTCGTACATTATATATTAGTGTGTGTATATATATATATGTATGTATAAGTCATAATGTATATAATTTGTGGTATTAAAGTATTTTTGCATGTCATTTTTGTATGATTTGCATTTTATCCTCATATGCATAACTCGACCTATTATATAATCGGACTAAGGGTAATACCCTTTTAATTTAAAATTATCTTGAGTGGCCTGTCTTAACTGATTAGAGGGTCGTTATGACCATTTTAAATTAAAAGTGTATCCCGAAAGTGAAACAAAAAAAATTGATTCGTCACCTAAAATTTGGGAACGAACGAAAAGGAAATGTTCGCTTATTTAAATTTATCAAGAAAAGATTGTTATATCTTTAAGATATGGTCTCGATATTTGTAAATAATCGAACATTCTTTATCTTTCTAAAACGACTTGGTAATTTTAATTTAATTTATTTGAGTGCTTTTAAATGTTTTTAAATTTACGTCTTTGTTTTATGGAATCAAAAATCAAATTAAATTCGAATTTGTAAAGTTCAATGCAAGGACATTAATTAATCGACTAGGTACCGTTTTAGGGCGTTGTGGGGGTGCTAATCCTTCCCCGCACGTAACCGACTCCCGAACTTGGATTTTGGTAACGCAGACCTTAATTTGTTGTTTTAATTAAAATTAATTTTTTTTAAAAATAACAAACATTTTTTGGTGCCAAATCACATCCTAATCAAAGATTTGCGGCGACTCTTTGAACTGTATTTTTTTTATCGTAAAGGAAATCCAAAAATTTTTCGAAACGAGAGGTTTTTAAATCGCATTTGTTTTTAAATTAAAGATCAATTGAAAGATATAAATCAAAAATTAATGTAGTTTTCAAAATTTCATTTTTTTCACTCTTAAAGAAAAAATCGTTTCGACAAGGTGAATTTTTCACCTTTGGGGGTGGCGGTGGCGGAGGAGGGGGATACACAGTAGGAGCTGACATTCTTTCCCCTGCAGATTGATACCACCATTCCATCATCTACGATTATGAAAAAGGAAATATTAACAAATTCCATTACTATTTCCAAAAATAAAGTTGGATGTTACATGAAAATACAGGTTTCAAGAAAAAAAGAATAGCAAAAAAAGTTAAAATACAAATATTAACTTTGGAACGGATGACAACGTTAAGAACTGTCAGATTTTATTAATATTAATTATTAAACCACAATGGTAGAATCTAGTTTTATTTTATTACCAAGTTAAATGGAAATTCAGGAAAGTGGATGAAAGCAACACTACATGAGTTTAAGAAAAGAATCTATAAAAGAATATTATGAGTCAAAATGACATACGGGTAGGGCTCACTGTTTTGGCCTAAAGCAAATAAGAAAGTGATTGGTTTAGTTTGGTTTGGTCCAGCTATTGCAGATTTTTGCTAAGAAAAATTTATATCCGTAAATATTTTGCATATATTATGTTTTTCAGATATAGTTATTATTTGTTAACGTTAATATATCATCCCTCAACCCCATGGGGTGATAAATTTAATAAACCAATAAACTACACTTACTTTAAAGATGAATACTGCAGCAATTAAACCAGTTTGTGCATAGTCCAGCACCACATATGCACATTTAAGCAAAGCTCCTTGTACCGCCAGCAGGAATTATACTGTCTAATGAGTATGCTAACTTTAACATTAACTAAAGTCAGATGAACAAATTTGGTCAAAACTCTTAACAATCCTAACTAAAACATTTAGAGAAACATACCTTTACCCATGTAGGCCCCCGAAGCCTCTCACATTCACGACTTCGGATTTTCGAAATTCTAGAGGAAGCATCCATCTACCTTGACATCAAAATAAGAATACTGAATATGTGTGTGTATATAGTAGAAATAAGAACAAAATGCAGAAGTGTGAATGTTCAGCAGGTGTATAGGGTGTGGAAAAAGCATGAAGCAACAAAAATACTGCATCATGTATATTTGTATAATAAAACATGCAGATAGAGAACATAAATTATTGTTGAATTTGATACCAATTCTTGTCCAGTGGCTCGACAAACATGAATCCCAAGTGCATGTAATCCAACAGAATGGAATCCAGTTGCATCCAGCAGATATAAAGTTGATAAGTAAATGTAAGTCCTGCACCACAAAAGTCAATATTAGATTAAAGCACGTATCTTGAGCTCCAACCAAAGCATGTTCAAAAACAGATAATGGTCATTCAAAGCTCTTTCAAGGAATCATTATAAATATGATCGCAGAATATCAGAAAACCTACAATATCGAGACACAAGCTCCATGGTTGGTAACCACAACTTAGTTTTTATTAATTGGTGATCATGACATATCATTGCTCACCCCTAGCCTTCTCAATCACAAGTTCCACTTTAGGTCATGGTAGTCCATGAACAATGATTAGATTAAAAAATTGCCTTTGATGGATATAAAATGATTACTTAGATCTGAACACACCTTCAGTGGTAGCGTGTATCCATGGATAACATAAGCCTATAATTTTCTGAATATTCTTTGCCAATCGTGTTCTTATTGCTGTTTCTGCTTCTGTTGATGTTCTTGAAGCAATAGAGGCCTCCCCTTCAACAAAGTAGTCGACATCTTCAAATCTTTCATCACCAGGACCCCATAAACTTGCTTGAAGCCTGGCTTCCCTTTCTTTGTTATAAATTGAGTGTAATTTTCACTTAAGGTACAGCAAAACAACCTAGAAAGACATAGCAAACCAGAGGTTACTACTGCATCGAACAAAGGTTGTTGGAGGGAAACTGGCGATAGAGCATGAAAATGAGTTCAAACTGTCAATACCCTAAAGTAATGTTCTACAAAATATATAAGCGCTTATACAGAAGAACGTTAGTAGATTAATAGGTCATATTGTTCATAAAAGATCTTAACAAGGAAAAAAAAAATAGATGCAGAATTCTACCAAAAATACAACTGAGAGAACTCTTTGACGCTTTCTAGACTGGAGTGTTGGATCCCATTACTGGTCTTTGATTGGATGTCAGCGTGTTTTATTTTTATTTTAGATCCAAAGTTCCGTTAGTAGATTAATTTTTTCATCTAATGTGACCCTCAAACTCGACAAAAAAAAATATATCCAAAGTTCCATTTTAATAATAATGGTGATGCAAATGTGTCGTCATAAGGTAATGTCACATCACCATTAAAAAACATATAAAAAAATCATCTCAGCATTTCTATTTAGTGGCCAAAAACAGAACTAAAACATAATTTTTTATATGATTTTAAAAGAATAATAGTTGGATTATCAAAACAGAACTCATTGAATAATTGGGTGACTGAATACGAAGTTTACACAAATTTTAATTTTATATTTAGGCTTCATCGCGTTGACTGTTTGAATATATATAATTTTCTAACCAATTGGTGCTAAGCATTTCTACAATTTGTTTCATGTAAAATTTTACTCACTTTTCAATATTTGGTAGAAGAAAAATAGATTGATCAATGTAAAATATTTTCTTGGTTAACATAATTATCTTTGTATTTTTTGAAAAATGACTTACGGTTTAATTTTACATAAGTCATTTTTCAAAATTTTCACTTCAAAATATAAATACTCAAAATAATATTATTTTATAAATTTAATATTAATATGATATTTTATTATCATTTTAATAAAAATATTAATTATTAACATATTTAAAATATATTTATTAATATTTTTAATAATATAATATAATAATAATATTATTACAATAATATATTCAATTATATTATAATAATATATGATACTATTATATTCTTATTTTAATAATATATAATAAATTATTAATAAAAGTTATATTATTTATTAATTTCTTAAAAATAATATTATTGAATTATTAATAGTGAATACTTTTATTTATGCATTTAATATTTATATAATAGTCTAATAATATTATAAAAATTCCTTAAAGTATATTTATTAATAATTTTAAAATATAATATACTATTTTTATTTTTATAGATATTCAATATAATTTATCATATTTTTATTTTAATAGAATATACTAGATTTAACATTTTATTTATAAAATTATAGAAATACTATTTTAATAATGGGTCATTGCGTTGACTGTTTGAATATATATAATTTTCTAACCATTTGGTGCTAAGCATTTCTACAATTAAGATGCCAAACCATATTCAACAGCTAAAAGAATAACATTTGTAGTAGTTAAAGCATAATTTTGAGTTACGTTTGGAATAATAAATGGATCGTCCTTTGCATTCAATAATACATTTCTTGGATTCAAAGTCAAGAGAGGCATAATTGTTAATCTTATGAAGTAACGTATTAGCCTTTTATTTTTCCTGGCTGATTCCAAAATTAAGATTTACTCAACATCAAAAATAAAAAAGCAAATGTGCATCTCTTCTTTCATTCAGGAAAAGTAGTTTACTTGTTAAAACTATAAAATTTTCATCGTTTCAACCTCCAAATCATCCTCCCGAGATATTAGTCGTTGTTTTATTTTTTTGTTTCGGTCATGTAAAATGGAGTTCCAACATTTTGTCCACCATCATAAGCTAAGCTTTGTGGATGTGGAGAAGAAAGACACGATTTCTTGCTTGGGGTGCACGGATATCATTGTTGGTCCGGCGTATTCGTGTCGAGAATGTCCATATGTTGCGATGCACAAATCATGCGCTGAATTGCCGCCTCAAATCCAGAAACACACTTTTCACCCCCATCCACTCAGATTCAATTTAGCGGACTTATTTGTGTGTGATGCATGTAGAAGATTGACGGTTGGTGCCATCTATTACAGCTGCATGCACTGTGAGTTGAAGCTTGATTTCAGATGCGCTATGGCTGTTTTTAATGATGAGAATGAGGTAGCTAAGCGTGCTGAGGAGGAGGATCGCCCAATTCACCATTTCTGCCACCCACATCAACTCAAACGCTGCTTGTTTTCTCCGACCCAGCCGGTGAAAGGATTCTGGGAGGAAAGGAAGTGGAAGTGTGTGGCATGCAATCAGCAGCCCCAATGGACTACACCAGTTTATATGTATGTATGCCTTCCTTGTGTATTTCTCATCCATGAATCATGTATGAATGAGATGCCGGAGCATGTTGAGAGGAGCCCCTTTCACCCACACCATATTCTTCGCCCTCGACTATTCCCTTATGAGAATGAAAGGATACAAGTTCGATGTTATGCTTGTCGGGATTCAATAAAAGGTTTCAGCTTCTACTGCAATGAATGCGATGTTAACTTCCACGCTTCATGTGCAAAGTACCCAACTCGTGCTATAAAGCATACTTGTCATCCTCACAATCTTCTACAACTCGGGAAAAGCATTATCCACAACATATCCTGCAATGAATGTGGTATAATTTGCAAAGATTCCAGCTTCAGCTGCAGAAAGTGTGAATACGATGTACATCCTCAATGTATTCTACTACCGACTACTTTTAAGCATAAACGCCACTTGCATCCACTTACGCTTGTAAGTCCATTTGTTGAAGATGACTCGGGAGATTATTGTTGCGATATGTGTGAGACCGAAAGGAATCCAGACCTTCAAGTTTATTGCTGTGAAGAATGCAATTTTATTGCTCATATTGATTGTGCCCTTTCTGAGGTAAGTCACCAACAACTGAAATTGTATGATTAAAATTAAACTAGTCCGTTTCTGATTTGGCTATTTGATATATGTCTGAAACTAAACTGTGTTTAGGTTCTTGAGCCTACGATAGAGATGCTGTTTGATCCTCAAAGAAAGGAAGAGAATTCTGGAGATCAAAGTTTAAAAATGGCAGGGAAGATGCACCATGAAATGGTTAGTAATGTAATTAAAAAAATATATAAATTATCCATATTTATAACGATTTCTGTTTTCATTTTTCTAGATACAAAGAGATTCTTTTCATCCTCACCCGTTGATGCTAGAGGAATCAGAAACAAAATTTGTTTGTGATGGATGTGAAGAGCTATGCATTGGTTTATTTTATACCTGTAAACTTTGTTCATTCAACCTTGACCATAGATGCGCTACTTTAAACGATGAAACCCGAGAAGTAAAGAAAACCAAAATCACAATCACACATTTCAGTCACATTCATCAACTTACACGATGCAAGATTAATATTTTGCATGTTGACCCAAAGATTATGAAGACTTGCAAGGCATGCAGGCAACGCCTTTCCGGTGTAATATACGCTTGCCTTCCTTGTGAATTCTTTTTGCATGAATCTTGCCTCAAGGATATGTTGGAGGAAGTTCAGAGTTCGTTCCACCCGCAACATCCTCTTCGAACATTTGCATTTTTGAACGATAATGAACCTTTATGTGACGCTTGTAGTGAGAATGTTGAAGGCCTAGTGTTCAGTTGTTTCGAATGCGCTTTCCACATGCACTATTCATGCGCAACATATCAGTTTCGTGAGGTAAAACATGGTTGTCATGTCGATCACTGTCTTTTATATTTGGGGAAAGGCTTTTTCGGTGATGAATCTCCCCGATGTAATGAATGTGGTCAAGCTTGTGAGAACACTTTATGGGGCTGCCTTGAGTGTGAGTTTTACATTCATCTTGAATGTATTTCACTCCCATTTGTCGTCAAACACAGACGTCATTTGCATCCACTTGTACTCACAACTGTGACCGAAGATGATTCTGGAAAATATTACTGTGATACATGTGAAACACAAAGAAATCCAGAGCATGACGTTTATCATTGCAAATAATGCAATTACATTTCACATATTGAGTGCATAATTTCAGAGGTAAATACTAACGTTTACATAGTCTTATAATTAAAAATGTTTTTTTAACTATTTGATGAAAGCCTAATATTACATTTGTTGTTGTTTAGGTTGAACCTCCGGAACAGATACTTGAATATCTACGTCCCCGCTCAAAGGGCGAAATTTAAGAAGACAACCTCATTGAAAACAAGTCTTTGCAGGTAAGCACATTTTAATTTGATTTGATACTATTTTTGTCATTTATTTTGAACCTAATCTTCTCTTAATCTGGAAATATTTTCTTTTTGATTAATTTCAAGAGAGTGAGGAAACATGTATTCATTTGATGTCGATGACAATTTTAACATTCATTGAAGCCCCTTCAGGCCATCTACCATTGCAACCATCATCAATACGAACAAATAAAGGCAACTTGTTTGGAAAGATGGACCAGCGATGAATTATTGGGATGAGAAAACTTTCACAAATGAATTAATTCTTTCCTGGATTGGGAGATGTATCTATGTAAATATCAGCTTTTTCTTACAGTTTGAAAACTTGAAGTAGATCCATAATGATGAATTAACTTCATAAATAATGTACTAAATTAAGCACGTTGTTGTACTTTCCTTACTATCATGCTAACGTGTGGCATAAGAACTATTTACATGGAATTCTAAGACTCTTTTCTTTGATCATGAGACAATGATTCTTTCAGACATGAAATAATTTATTACATCTTGTCAAATGTTAGTGCAATTACACATAAAGCTGGATCTAAAGATCTAATGTTTCAGAACTCCTGGTTTATCCGTCTTAACATCTCCGGGAGCACAGCTATGCATGTCTACAAAAGATTATTTATCAGATGTGAAGTCTAACAATACTGCTAATTCTCGGTTCTGGCTCGTTTCAGGACCGGGAAACCGGACTCATCATCATTCTTCCCTACATGTAGGGATGTTCAAAATTCGGTTTTAACCGAATTAATCGACCGAACCGAACTAATTCGGTTAATTCGGTCGGCCACCGAATTAGTTCGGTCGGAAAATGGTTAAGGTTGTTTTGGATATTCGGTTAAAAGTTAATTCGGTTCAAAATCGGTTAATTAACCGAAATAAAATTTAAAATTTTAAATATATATTATATATAACATATGGGCTCAGCCCAAACCATTTAAAACCCAATTAATAATTTAAGATCCAATAACTTTTAAACCTAAATCAATATTAATTAATTAAAAAAATTATATAAAATTTTTATTTTATAATTATATATTATTTAAATTAATTGTAAACTGTTTTTTTGAATTAAAATATTAAATATATTATATATAACATATGAGCTCAGCCCAAACCATTTAAAACCTAATTAATAATTTAAGATCCAATAACTTTTAAACTTAAATAATTGTTAATTAATTAAAAAATTTATATAAAATTTTTATTTTTATAATTATATATTATTTAAATTAATTATAAACTGCTTTTTTGAATTATAAAATATTTAATTTTTATATAAATTAAAAAATTTTAAAAATTTTCGGTTAATTCAAAAATTAACCGAAATTTATTCGGTTCGGTTAATATTTTCGAAAAAAAAGTTCGGTTCGATTAACGATTAAAAAAAATCGATTAATTCGGTTAATGGTAGTTCGGTTGATAGTTAATTCTGTTTCCGGTGCTTTCGAGTTTTTTTCATTTTTACTACTAGCATTTCCTGGACCAATCCCAGTTCTGGAGTGACCTTGGTCTAAAGCTTTTGAATCTGATTTATCATTGTTGCAAGGCGGATGATTTGAGCCTGGTAATGGTGCGCGAGCGTCATCCAAGGTAGAAGAGGACGCCACACCTTTTTCGTTTTCGACTTTTTTTTGTTTCTCGAACATCTTTTGCAGATACCTTCCTTGTTCCTTGATTCGCAGCAGCAAATTTCTCTGAATCTGGAGAAAAAATGTATCCCGCATTAGAAAATATACGTGCATTCATATAAGAGCATAACCCTGCACGGATGCAAGTTTTACTATCTCCGTCAACTCAATCATAAAGGATCCAACGTGACTTGTTTCAGAAAATAAAAAATCATACGCAGATCCCGTAACGTTGGGAGCTGGGAACAGAAGTTAGTACATAAGCAAGAAGCCATTGTGGTGCCTTGAGTTAGCCTGCATAATTTGCTACTGAAACGAATTAATGCTTAGTTACCAGTAGCTTACCTCAAGTTGTTCATGGAGCTGCTTCTGGACTTCCATTTGCATCCGAAGTGCTTCAGTAATTCCTATACTCCTGTTACGATAAATAACAAGTCCAAAATCATATGGATGTTCTCGATCCTGTAAGCTAAAATGATTTTCTATTGGCAGTTCTCGTTGGAGTTTCGGGTGAAAGGTTCTAGTTTGACTTCCATTCTAAATGTCATATGTCGCGATATAAATAAGAGGCAACCGAGCTACCAATCAAATGGATGATGGGCCAAATAAGCTCTCAAGTCTTAACTATAACACCACATGATGAGATTATAACATCATATTCCGATAAATTTGCAACTTGTTTTAGAAGAAAATTCAAAAGAAAAATGGTAGATGAACTATACTCCAGCATACCAGAAAACGGAAGGTTACTTACGTCTTCAAGTCTATTGATTTCATTTCTTCAATTGAAGTAACTTTTTTTTCCTGATGTTCCTGCAAGGAGAAGCAAACAATACATTTTAACCTGTTGCCTTATGTGCTATTGCTTGCGCACTGAAAATGGAAAGAGATACGAAGAAGGAACGGTATTATGAAAATACTGTGCAACGTAGTTGCTTATTGTCTTACCTTCTGATGATTCTGGCATGTATCTGGCGGTTCTATATTTCTAGATTCCGAAAAAGAAAATGTTCCAGTGAACGTATAAGATTGTCTGAGAAGGTAGTTAAAAGGATCAATAAAACGAGATTACGTTCAGACCTGCAGATGACTTTTAACATGATATATTGCCAATCCTTCTACATTCATCAGCTTTAAGATGCCTTTTGGAGTAGCTCCTGTAAGTTTAAATTATAAGCCAAAATTAGCAAAAGATGTAAATAGATTACTTGCTACACGCTAATGAGATGAAGAGACATATGTTCGCTGCCACCCAGCTGATTAACAGCTTCCAGAAAAGCCACGTGAAGCTCAGGTGTCCAACGCATACGGGGCTTCGCAGGAGGAGCAGTGGATGATGGGTAAGCATTGCTCGAAAATTCTTCATGCTGTGCAGGTTGATTCTGATGAAACTGAGGCAGTTGCTTCGACACCTGATACATTTTATTTTAAATTTTCTCATAAAACCAAAAAATTAAAAAGAAAACGCAAAAAAGGTACAAGTCACTAGATCATTCTTCTTGATATTCTAATAAGAAAAAATATATATATCAAACAAAGCTGCTGTAAATTCCGAGGAATAAACAGAGGCTCTACCAAAGAATTTTAAGAATGAACATCATAAGTTGCCCGAGACATATCTGCACCAACTGCATCTACTAAAATTTAGGAACATACCTTCAGTTTGGGGTCTAAGACATTGATATCATCGAAAATCTTACTCCAGTTAGGATCCGGAACACTGATAAAATCATCAGCCCACTCGTGCCAATCAGTTTTCTTATTGTGGTCCTCAGATGCGATGACACCAGTGTCGCTTTCCACCAGCCGATTTGGAGCAGGAGCACCAGGAGCTGCAGCAGCATTTTCGGGCATATCAAGAAATTTTTGAAGCTGGTCTAAAGTCCATGAACCATCCTTATTTCCCTGCGTGTGATTAAGCGAAGCTGTGGACTGCAGAAAAGAAGAATTGACTGGTGGCAAAGATGCCAAACCCCTCGATGACTGAGAAATAAATGTGGGATTTTGAGAATGCTGAATATGTGCTAGAGCTGAGGCATGCATATCACTGGTGGCTATGGAAGGGGATGAAGACGAACTTCCAAAGGTTCCCTTCCTGGGAGCCAATGAAGATTCTCAAGTGATACGCTGTTCTTCATCACCTCCCTTCCTAAGGAAACCTGAAAAGAACTCGACAATTCGTTGTACTTGTCGTTGAAAGGAGAGGTAAGAGCTGGAAAAGGCGAAGACATAGCAGCAGAGACCTAAGTTCCTGATTGTCAGCCGTTTTATATCTAAAAATCAACAGCCTGAATATAGAAGCAAGATGCCTGTTAATGTTATATGAACAAAATTCAACAATCTTCAATTCAATAGCTCTAAACTTATTTTGCAGATATATTCATGAAATAATTGTTGGTGTCGTAACCGGTTTTCGTCCGGGCACGAATTTTTTATTAGGCGGGAAAAATGATGTGAATAAATGGTTTTTTTTAAAATAATTTGGGAGTCGCCATCGGCCTTTTGGATCAGGTAGGTCGAATACCTAAAAATCGTCATTTAAAAGAGTTTTTAACAAAATATCGATTAAAAGATAAACTGATCTGCGTTTTAACCAAAAATTCGTTCTTTTTAATAATAAAAAGGGATTCGTGGTCGGTTACGTTTAGGGAATGATTAGCACCCCTACAACGCCCAAAATTGGTACTTTTTAATTATAAATTGTCTCTATTATTAAAAAATTAAAAAATTCAAAATATATTTAATTTATAATCCTATTATTTCAAAAATTATAATTATGGAAAATATTAATTTATATATTTATAAATAAAATATTTATTTATTTAGAAATATCAGAAAAGGGCTTCTAGGTGCCTTAAGACAGCTCTTTTCTTCGATATTAAAAATATATATAATTAAAATAATTAATATATGATTTAAAAAATAGGATATTTATTTATTTAAAAATATCAGAAAATGGACATCCAGTTGTTTTAAGACTGCCCTTTCTTAATATTGAAAAATAAATAAATATATATTAAAATATGATTATTAAAAAGTAATTTATGAAATATAAGATTTTAACGAATAAACAAATATTATTTATATATATATATTTATTTATATAAATAATAAGAATAATAATAAAAAGTAATAATAATAAAATAATATTGCAAATAATAATTAAAAATATAGTATTAAAATATAAAATATTAAAAAAAATAATCAAAAATGAAATTTGAATGATTAAAATATAAAAATTATAAAACTAGAGTACTAATTTGAAATATATAAAAGATGGGCATTAAAAGTATAATTTAACCATAATTCATAATACGGGATTAAAATAATAAATAATAAACTATGAGGGACTAAATTTGATATTTACCTAAATATATATATATATATGCTGATAAGGACTAAATTAAAATAAAATAAAATTAGAAGACTAAATTAAAATAATCAAAAATTGCTTTCAGTGACTAAATTGCAAGGTATATAAATTTGGAGCACTGCGGACGGGGTTTACCCTTTATGAAATTATAGAAATACCCTCCCCAAAACGGCGTCGTTAGGGAGAGGGTATTAATACCCGAAACCGGCTGGCCCGTAGGGCCAGTCTCTCATTTCTTCCTTTCTCTTCTCTCTCAAACAGAGAGAGAGTCAGAGTTCTCTCTGGCTTCTCTCTATCTTCCCTCGCCGGAGGGAATCCGGCAGTCGTCTGCCACCGTACACCTCCGCCGTCGGCCACCGTAAATGGTGGCCGAAATTTCCAAAATTTCCCAAAACATAGATCGGGCCGTCTTAAAGACGATTCTGGTAACCTTTTTTCTTAAATAGCCCCCGATCGGAGCAGATCTAAGAAGATACCTTCGGTTTTTGAAGGTGTCCGGTGACGTGTGAAGGCTCCGGTGAGTTTCTTTCTTCTTTCTTTGTTTTCTGTTTTGGTTCCCTGCTTGTAGTGGGTTCTCTCTCTTTGTGTGTTCCTGTCCTTTTTTCTCCTCCTCCCTCCTTTTATTTTTGCAGGTACGATGGTTTTATAGCCATCTCGGTCGCTTGCTCGGACCGGTCTGAAGGATGAAAAGTTCGGTGAGTCACCAAAGCTAGGTTGGTGACTCACTATAGGGAAGGCTGTTGGTTGCCATCTGGCGTTCTAGAGTGTTCCTTGAGGCGGCGGCGTGGCAGCAGCTGGTTGGACCATCTGGCTTGGGAAGTGTCGGCAGAGGCGGCTGTTGGGAGTTCTTGGAGGCAGCGGCGGTGGCAACAGTGCTAGGGTTTAGAAACCCTAAATGAAACCCTACTGGTTGTTTGTAACTGGGCCGATCCAGTTTTCATTGGGCCTGTAATTATTTTTTAATAATAATAATATATATAATAATAATATATATATAATAATAATAAATAAATAAATAAATAAAATGGGTAAAAAAATTAGTATATTCAGTTGGCTATAATTAAGAAGGCAAAACGAATGAGATTTATCCTGAGGTTAATACCATTCTAAATTCTTCGAGATTTATTTTGACTCCTTATGAATTGAACTTACTATCAAATAAGAAATCCAAAGAAATGATAATTGGACAGAGAAGAAGGCAGTGGAGCTTCGACATCACCAGAAACTTAATGGACTCCTTATGAATTGAACTTACTATCAAATAAGAAATCCAAAGAAATGATAATTGGACAGAGAAGAAGGCAGTCGAGCTTCGACATCACCAGAAACTTAATGGACTCAGCATTTGAAAGCTGCAAAATTTGCCCATTCAATAATAAACCAAGTTTCCTGCAGATTTTACCTAGAAACAATAAAGAAAAGCAACCATTACAAAATGATTTCTAGACTTCTAGTACAGACAATAAATGGGCAAAATCATGTCAAAATAACAGCGGTTTCACCACACTTGGATCCGGCTCCAACCCTTTTAATGGTACAACTCTAATCACTATTCACAAGTATAACTTGTGATTCATGGATGAATCCTACACATATGAACACTGAACGGCGGCAATAAATGTTTATGAAAATAGTAAACAAACAAAGAAATAGCTGATAGGATACCAACCCCACCTACGGCACAAACCAAAACGAAAACATCACATTGATTTTTCTTATAAATTTGAATTCTTTTCCATTTATGCAACTAATCCATTAGTTCAATACCGATAAGCCAAAGCCGCAAAAGGAAACTGTTGAAAACATTTTGATGTTTCGATATAACAAATTAAATTAAAAGAATTTTAATTTTGAAAATGATTTTTCTAAGCATATTCGATATATTAAATCGAATATCAAAATATTACTCAAAGTATTTCAAAGTTCATTTTAAATCCTTACTAAAGTGTAAAATTAAGTTTTAATCTTAAAATAATTTCAAAACAATTTTACAAAGTATTTCGAACCGTTTCAAAGCAAAAAATTATAGTTTGTCTAGAGGGAACCGATTCCCCCTGAATGATTTGGCTCCGAGAAATTCCAGTATGCTCGGAGGGTATCGATTCCCCCCAGGGGGTATCGATTCGCCCCACTGTTCAATGATCGAATATTTGAATTTTACACTTAGGGAACCGATTCCCCATGAGGGGTACCGATTCCCCCCACGCTCTAAGCAGAAATATGAATTGTTTTCACACTTAAACGGCTCCAATAACTTCATTAATGATCCCCAACGTTTAGAAGTGATTCAAGGTGTATTTAAGCAAGCTTAGAAGCCATTGATCAATAACAAGAAACAACAAGCAACTAGAATCAAGAGAGAATCAAAGAGAAAGATCAAACCTCAAGTTTGAGCATTTCAAGCCTATTTTTCATTCAATATTCATTTTGCTTTCAAGAACACTACTTGTACTCAATTGTATTCATTCTTGAGTTTTCTTTTCTTTGTTCTAGAATTGTGCAAACAATTTACCTTGTTAGGATTTCCTTGTAAGTTTGCAAATTTGTATTGTTCTTTTTGGGAGAGAGTGTTCTCAATAATTTGGGGTATAATTCTTGAGGGTTTGTAAGGTTACTCTTTGTCCTCAAAAGAAAGATAAATTAGTGAATTTGTGGAAAATCCTTAGTGTGGATAGCTAAGGTAGTGGACGTAGACTTTGGTTGAGAAAGTTGAACCAATCTAAATCGTTGTGCAATTACTTTCAATTTTCTGCAAAAGCTTCCACCAAATTTTTAATTGCCAATTCACCCCCCTCTTGGCCGATTCCATCAATCGATTAACTCAACAATTGGTATCAGAGCCTAACTCATTTAAAGGTTTAATCGCCTCTTGAGTCGATTCGGGAAGAGTTACATCGATAATCAAAGTCATCAATGGCCTCTACTTTAAACTTCGACTCCGGTCTCAATTCGATGCCCGTCAACAAGCCTCCTTTCTTCAATGGGGATAACTATGCCTATTGGAAAAATAGGATGATGTACTTCATTCAAGCAAGTGACATGGGAGCATGGAATGCCGTAGAAGAAAGATACATCAAACCTCTCACTCATCCAAGATTATGGAGTGAAGGAGAGACAATAATGTTTCAGCTCAACTCCAAAGCCATACATATCATATTTTGTGCTCTTGGACCAGATGAATACGGAAGAGTTTCATCTTGTACAACTGCCAAAGAAATATGGGACAAACTTCAAGTCACTCATGAAGGTATCGATGAGGTAAAGAAATCTAAAATTAGTATTCTAACGCATAGCTATGAAAATTTCAGGATGAAACCAAATGAAGATATCAAAGCTATGACGGATAAATTTTCAACGATTATCAATGGTCTCAAATCATATGGAGAGACCATTTCAAATGAAAAGCTTGTGAGGAAGTTAGTATACTCCCTTCCAAAATCGTGGCAATCAAAGAAGATGGCAATCATCGAGTCTAAGGACCTAACATCCTTAACTCTTGAAGAACTAATCGGTTCCCTTCTCACTCATGAAATGATGCTTGAAGATGAAGTGGACCTCAATAAGATTGACGAGACACCAAAGGAGAAGGAGAAGAAGAAAAATATTGGAGTTGCTCTTAAATCCACAAAAGATGAGAGTGATTCGAATGACGATGATGACGACGAGGAAATGACATTATTTTCCAATCGATTCAGAAAGTTGATGATGCCCAACCGAGGAAGAAAATTCAAACGTCATGAAGGCTTCAAAACTGAATCAAAGGAGAAATACCCGATCATTTGCTATGAATGCAAAAAGCCAGGGCATATCAAATATGATTGCCCATAATTGAAGAAAAAGGGTTAATCTAAAAAGAAGCACAAGACTTATGTAGCTACATGGAGCGATGAAGAAGGTTCCGATGAAGAGGAACAA